AGTGCGAATGTATGTAACACCCAGAAGGAGGCGTGGCAGACCCCTAAAAGTATGTATGTATATTATTGATAAGAATGACAAGTCGATATAGCCATGTCCGTCCGCCTGTCTGTATAGACGAAAGGATCTCAACTGGAAGGTACAAGAGCTAGAATTACCAAACTTGATTTTTTTAAATGCACTATAGTATTTTAATTTAGCCTTTATTTGTTAGATCAATATTTTTGTTCAAAAATAACAACATACATATGTACGATGTTGCTTTTTAAAAATCTGCTTGTGTTATAATTTGGCCAGCTGTGCTAAAAATGCGTTCAGAGGCACATATGTGGATGGATGACTACAGAATTTAATGAATCAATCGCCAAACAAAAGATGGGTAATTTTCCCTTTTGGGGCTTACAATGTTTTTCTTCTCACACAGTTGTCCCTCCATGTAACTATAAGACGGAAAACATTTTTAGAAGCATCAATGCATAGCAGGCAATCACTACCGTAAATTAGGCAGCATGTGTTCATTTCTTAATACATACTTACATATATGCGCTTCAAGTTTACTTTACAGATATCTATACATTGTTTGCGTCCACGTTACATCCACGTTCACAGTTAACACCACTACTCCCAAAATTATTACAATAAGAAAAAAAATTAATTAACAAATAATAAATTGAAAAAACTGGGACTAAAATATTTCATCCTGCTTCTTCGCTACCGTATTTTCAAAAAGTACGGGTTATCGATACTGGCAATTTAAACATCGATGATTTCGATATTGTCAAACCATCGATATGTCGATGTTTTTTCCAGCTCTAATTTCCGGTTTTCCGTTGGTATAATCACCTATACTTCAGTGACTAGAGGACCTATGGACACCAAAGTCCCAGATGCTTCATGTGAAAGTGTATTTTGGAATTTACCTCCCTCCCCCCTTCACAACAATCACTAATTGTCCATAACTGCTGTATTTGTTGGAATTTTTCATTGAAATATCTCCAGTTAGTAACTATGAGTCCGTATGTTAAATTTCATGATAGGCCGATTTAACAGGAAGTTATAGCCATATATGTATATATGACCAAGCAGTGCCCGCAGCTGTTCTTGTTGTTACTGCTTTGCACACGAGACATATACAGACACACACATACACACATAATTATTCTCTCCCTAGTACCGTTACACACTTATTATCTCCAGAACAAAAAAGTAGAAGCTAATGTCGGGTGTCCCGATTTTGAAATACTCTGTACATATGTGTAGAAGAATTATAGAATTTTTAAAAATTAGGAAAATGAAAAAAGAAATAAATAAACAAGATAGAACGCTACAGTCGAGCAAGCCCGACAGTAAAATAGCCTGTACTCTCCACAAAAAGGAAAAATTGAAAAAAAAATTTAAAAAAAAAAATTAAAAAAAAAATAATTATTAAAAAAAATGAATGAATTAATTAATTAAAATAATTAATTAAATTAAATTAGAATACATGTTTATGTTCAGTTTAAACAGCATACATTTACATCACGTACCTATGCGTGTTTATATGGGTGTATGTATGCAGCACAAAGTTGAACCAAAGCAGCAACAACAACAACAGTTGCGGGCAGCGCTGCAGCGATTTTACTTATGGCTATAACTTTCTTCAGAATTGACCTATCATGATGAAATTTGGCACACGGACACATTAGTACTAACTGGATGTACATACCAAAATTGATTTCATAATTCCGAGAATTACGGAAGTTATAAGAAAAAACACGAATTGCGGGGGAGTGGGGGGGTGTATCAGAAAAAATAAACAAACTCGTTCTGCCTAGGGCTTATAGGAACCTTGATACCAATTTTGGTTATGCTAGCTCTTACTTACTTACGTACTTACTGAGATCCTTGCGCTCATACAGACAGACGGACATGGCTATATCGACTCGTCTTCTCATCCTGATCAAGAATATATATACTTTGTGGGGTCTGCCACGCCTCCTTCTGTGTGTTACATTCATGCGCACAAAACTAGTATAGCCTTTCACCCTTTGGGTACAGGCTATAAAAATTACCATTCTTGGTATTTGAAGTAATGTAAAGGGTGTATAATTAGACATTTACATAGGAATTGTGTCTATGTGAGTGTATGAATGCCTATGCGTGTCTGTGTGAGCATGCATGCAGCAATATGTTGAACCAAAGCAACAACAGCTGCGGGCAGCGCTTGGCCAAATAATATATTTTAATATGTCTATAACTTTCTGATAAATCGGCCTATCATAATGAAACATAATATACGGACACATAATAACTAACTGGAGGTATTTTCCAAATTTGAGTTTGAGTGAATTCCAAGAATTGAGAGAGTTATGGAAAATCACTAATAGCGGGGGAGTGCATCAAAAAGAAAAAAACACAAACTCGTTCTTTCTCGGACTTGGGAAAATCTGGATACCAAATTTGGTTATCCTAGCTCTTATACTTTGTGATCCTTGCGTTCATACAGACAGACGGACATGGCTATATCGACTCGTCTTGTCACGCTGATCAAGAATATATATACTTGGTGGGGTCTGCCACGCCTCCATCTGTGTGTTACATATGTACATGCGTACAAAACTAGTATAGCCTTTCACCCTTTGGGTACAGGCTATAATAAGAGAGTCGAGCAAGCCCGACAGTGAAATACCCTGTACCCAGACAAACTTCCGGTATATTCGCTTCAAGTAGAAGCAAAGAGAATAAGTGCGAAATAAAGTTGCTTCGCTAGTAACTTATCTCAGAATTAAGATGAAATATTACAACAATAGCAGATAATTGTATATAGAATACGTGTGCAAATTTTGGTTTATGTAACTAGTAAAATGTGGACAGTATTGACGAAATTCTGTAGCGGGGAGAAGTGGGAAAAATCAAAACAATAAAATAAACTCATGTAGCCTAGGCACACGGAGCGCCTTCATACCAAGTTTGGTTAATGTGTGTTCATTCGTTTCCGAAGTCTAGGGGTTCGTCCAGACAAACAGGCGGAGATGCGTAGATCGATTTATCTCGTCATGCTGATTCAGAATACAAGTATACACATTTAATGGGGTCTGAGATGCGTCTTTCTCCCTGTTACATACTTTACATAAACCTAAGATACCGTGTTAGCCTACGGATAGAGCTGAAAAAACATCGATATCATGTTTAAATTGCCAATATCGATAATCGGGTACTTTTCGAAAATTCAGAAGCGAAGAGTAGGATGAAATATTTTAGTCCCAGTTTCTTCAATTTATTATTTGGATATTAAAATTTTTTTTTATTATTGTAATAGTGTTGGGAGTAGTGGTGTTGACAGTGAACGTGGACGTAATCGTGGACGCAAACAATGTATAGATATCTGTAAAGTAAACTTGAAGCGCATATATGTAAGTATGTATTAAGAAATTAACACGTGCTGCCTAATTAAGGTTGTGATTGTCTACTATACATTGAAGCTTCTATAAATGTTTTCCGTTTTATACTTACATAGAGGGACAACTGTGTGAGAAGAAAATCATTGTAAGCCCCAAAGTGGAAAAATTTCCATCTTTTGTTTGGCGATTGATTCATTTAATTTTGTAATCAGGCAGATCATGGCCGTGCCATCCACATAATGTGCCTCTGAAAGCACTTTTAGCACAGCTGGCCAAATTATAACACCAGAAGATTTTTAACAAGAGAGAACGCTACAGTCGAGCAAGCCCGACAGTGTAATACCCTGTACCCAGGTAAACTTCCGTCACTGAGTTATATGCGCCCATAGCAGCAAAAAGAGGAAGAAGAAGAGCGAACTTGTTGCTGCAGTTTGGGGGGGTTGTACTGGCGAGAATTTGTTTCGCTAATAACTTTTCTTAGAATTGACCGAATTGAATAAAATTTTAAACAATTTTAGACAATTATATATAAATTATGTGTGCAAAGTTTGGTTTAGGTAGCATTTGAAATGTGGACGCTATTGACGAAATTCTGCAGCGGGGGAAGGGGGGGAAAATTAAAAAAAAAAAAATAAACTCGTCCTTACTCGGACCTAGGAGAATCTGGATGCCAACTTTGGTTATTCTAGCTTTTATAGTTTCTGAGATCCTCGCGTTCATCCAGACGGACAGACGGACGGACGGACATGTCTAGATCGATTTCTCTCGTCATGCTGATCAAGAATATATATACTTTATGGGGTCGGAGATGCTTCCTTCTGTATGTTACATACTTTGCACAAACCTAATATACCCTTTTTACCCTACGGGAACAGGGTATAAAAAGCAACATCGTACATATGTTGTAAACATCGATGTTTTTACAGCTCTACCTACAGGGTACAGGGTATAAAAATGAAAATATAAAAATAATAAACAAAAAATTTTAATGTGTATAATTCCACATTTACATGGAAATTGTGTCTATGTTAGCCTATGCGTATAAAATCACGCATAGGGGTTCTATGCATGGCTGTGTGTGAGCATTTATGCAGTACAAACTTGACCCAAGCAGCAGCAACAACACAGTCGCGGGCAGCGCTTACGCAGAGAGAACATATATAGCTGTAACTTCGTTTCAAATCGACCTAAGGTGACGAATCTTGGTATAGGGACATATATTCACTAACTGGAAGTATTTGTCAAATTTGAGTTCAAAATTCCATTATGGGAGTTATAGAAAATAACTAATTGCGGAGGAGAGGGGGGAAGGAGGGAAATTTTCTGCGTATTCATAAGGCAAAAAAATAATAGGAACTTGTACAGCGTACACACATAAGGCTTTGTACAAAATTCGGTGTCTCTAGCTCTTGTAGTCTCCGAGATCCACGTATTCATACAGACAGACAGGCATGCTGATGAAGAATATATATACTTTGTAGGTTCTACCACGCCTCTTATCCCTGTTATATTTTTCATCTCTTGCAAACCTAATATACTCTTTTACATTTCATGTCTATTTAGAAAGAGAGGAGCCAAATTATAAAATTTAGATCTAAGAATGCCGTGTTTGTTACTTACGACTTTTACTAACGCCGAAATTGGTTGTTCCCTGCTCCACAATATGACCTTGCATGTCAACCTTGTTAAGAGACGAAGCAGTGATTTCATGATACAGTAAGCCATAAGGATTAACTAGGAAGTATTCTTGGTCGACTTTTAATCGGGCTGTTATCTGAGCGCCCATGTCTTTTGCCCAGCCGTTTAAGTCCAGCAAACGAAACGTGGCAGCCAGCTTGCATCTGAGTATTTTTTCACCCTTGGCATATCCGATTGACTCAACACCACGTATATCATTAATAGGTACCATGCAATTGCTTGACTTAAATACACTTCCTACGCGAGGCATAGGCAAGCCCACTATATCCGATAGTTGTTGAAGAATACCACTGGTACCTGTGCCACACTCTCGCGCAGTGTCTACTATACGTTCCAGTTCTTCACGAAAGAGTTTTGAACCCATTATGGCTTCAACACGTTTTCGGCGTTCCATTTCGCGCATGTCCTATAAAAAAAATTTGCAGCCTAAGTTTTTTTTTTTTTTTTTATATGTTTTAAGCTTTAATTACCTGCTCAATGTCTGCAGGGCGAGCTTTATTGCTCTCGTCATTTTCGCTTGTCCTTTGATCAACACCATTTAGTGGCAGTTTCTCTACTTCAGCCATTGTCTGGTAAAACAATTCAAATACTGAAAATAAAAAGTATAACATTAACAGGAAATAGGCTTATAAATGAGATAGGATAAGGATAATTATCTTTAAAGATTAATTTAAAATAATTATAATTTAGTCTAAACTGTAATTTCTTGTTAAGTTTTAATATTTCTACTATTATTTTACCCTGTACCCATAGTATATATTTACTTTGTGCGAATGTACACTTCTCGTCATTTAATAGGACCCCACTTAACCTATTGCCGTCCATTGTATCTGCTTGGGTAAAAAAAACATGGCGCAACAAGAAATTAACCAATTTTCGTAGACCTGTAGTTTCAAGCAGAAACAAAAATTGAACAGTTCTATTACGTAGTCAGTGCTTTGGACTTTGTGGAGACATATTTTTATAGCCTGTACCCAAAGGATGAAAGGCTATACTAGTTTTGTGCGCATGTTTGACATTGTAGATTGTATTTCAAGTCACCTTCTTCGGTGCCGATGACATTTGCGTAAACTCCTTGCTGCTATGTGTTCTAGGTGAAACCGAAATACTTTTTAGTAGCAATGAGGTGGGGATTTTTTTTTTACTTGGTAAAATGTTTCGAAAAACGATATCTACCATAATACCTACCATTTTACCATAATATCTACGTTTCATAATATAATCGCTGAAGAGTTCAATATGTTTCAAAAAACAAATTATTGTTTAAACTTAATAAAAATTATCAATAGACTTCAAGTTAAATAAATCAAATAAAACTTAAGAGAATATAATAAAACAAGAGAGAACGCTACAGACGAGCATTTACGACAGTAAAATACCCTGTACTCTGCACAAAAATCGAAAATCAGAAAAAAACACAAAATAGTCCTTTCTCGGATTTAGGGGAATGTGGATACAAAGTTTGATTATTCTAGCTCTTGTTCTTTCTGAGATCCTTGCTTTCATACAGACGGACATGGCTATAACGGCCCGTCTTGTCGTCCTGATCAAGAATATATATACTTTGTGGGGTCTGCCTCGCCTCCTTCTCTGTGTTACATGCATTCGCACAAAACTATACCCTTTGGGTATAGGGTTTAACAAATATACCAATTGCATTAATATTAAACTGCGAGAATTCGCGGAAATGCCAATTAAATTTTGAAAAATTTAACGCAAAAATTTGTAATAGTTTTTATCACATTTGGAATTTTCAATGTCGGGGCGTGCTTCCATACATTGATAGAAAATTGCATCCTTTTGTGGCGATCTAAGTTTTCCCCTACAAAAAAGTAGCATTTGAAATTGAATTCGGAAATTACAAATATGTAGCTGCATCTTGTTTTACTGGTACGAATGGTATTTTTACATGACGGTTTATTGCCATTAATATTTTCGCTAACACACAGACCTGCTACTTGACAACACACAATTCTTGCCAAGTTTGTTTAATTAATACAAAGTTTTGCAGCAATTTTTTATTTTGTTTTTAATTTTCGTATGAATCACAAATTTAGACTTAACTCAACAAATAGCGATGTTCGAAAAATGTAATTTTCTATTTGAGGTAAGGGCGCATCTCTATTGTGCGGTTGTTTAGGATGCTGTGTGTGAATGATAGTGTTTTAAGTATACACTTAATAATTTGCTAATTTAATAATATTTATGTAGGATATGCAAAATATGTTTGATGCAGATTGTTCAAAAAAACTATAAGGTTTCCAATGATTTTTTTATTTGGAAAAATGTCTTTGTTAGTGTTTTTAATCAACCAAAAAAGATTTCTGTGGCACCGAGAATTGGTTTTGAGGCGAAACTTGGGCGGAAGAGATGTCTGTGGCACCCCTGTATATATACTTTGTGGGGTCTGCCAAGCTTTCTTCTTTGTGTTACATACATTCGCACAAAACTAGTATAGGGGGAAAACGGGCTCCAAAGATTGTATGAAAAATATGAAATTTTCATTCGATTGGCTTCGTGTAAACCCAATTACACGATCTATAAAAGAATTCAAAAAACACTGCATACTTAGTTTTTCACCATTTGCCCTGAGGCATGAAAAAGGGGGGTTTTCCCGTGGAAAAATTGAAACACAATATACACCCCATAGCCCAAACGGTGTTGCAGCTTGAATTATTGTGGTTTTAATATCTATTAACTTTTTCAAATGAAAAGTCTGTGTTATAAATTTTGTCCGATCGATTTCAAATTTGGGTAATGTAATCTACGTAACTAAATCTACAACTTTGCATTCAAGGATTTTTTAAATTATAGAAACACGGGGTTCGCTTTACAAATGCAGTCAGAACAAACTAAGTATACATACAAGCAGCTGTTCGTGTAGTTGCGTGCAAACGATTGAAATAGCCAAAGCAAAATGTGAGACACTAATGTGTGAATGTATGTATGTCAAGAAATATTAATTAATTAAAAATGATTTAACATTTTCAAAAGTAATTTTAATTTTTGTTTAGTACTTTTGCATTATTTATTTATTATTTAAACGCATCGTGCATTATTTAATCAAAATTATAATTTTTTTGACCCCCCCTTTAGAAAACCTGCGTACGCCCTTGACGGACTGCACATACACGGTTCTCTACGTACGGTTAAAACAGTAAAGAAGAACAAAACAAAACCCATAGATGCATATGTACATACATATGTATGTATATGTATATGAAAATCAACAACGACAACTGCAAGTCATTGGCACGCCTCTTATTCTTTCGTTCACATTTTTTGATCACCCACGCCTTTTTATTGCAAAGGCAAAATGCCAAAAATTTACAGTTACCGTCGATATGAAACGGCTGAATAAGCGATAGTAAAGCAGAAATCGAATAACGGAGCTACGCATATCCTGCTTCGCATTGCGGGCAGATGTACATATATATTTAACTAGGTCACTACGTTTCATAGTATAAAAACAAAACCATTCAATATATATTAAAAAAATATATATATTGCTTAAACTTTATAATATTATCAATAGACTTCAAGTTAAATAAAGAACGTAAAACTTAAGAAAATATAATTACGAAATGAAACAAAATATTGTCAAACGAAATAATTAACTACTAGGACAAATTCATTGTTTATATGTTAAAACTAAAAAGGAGCAAAACAAAGAATTATAAACGATGAACATATTTGAAATGGAACACCCGTCGTTGTTCAACACCTTCGTTATTCAACCTGGAGTTGAATTCTCCAAATTTTGGAGCATTTGGATGTCAAATTTTGCCATTCTCGAATAATGGCTTCACTTAACTCTTTTAGAGTTCCAAATTACCTTCCGTTGGCTTAAACACGTTTAGGCAAAGAAATTGTATCGGATTTAAGTCCGGGCCGGGTGCTGAACTATTTTGGGCTTCGCACATTCGCGATAATAGTATCGGTAACCGTCAGGGCCACCTAAATTAAACTTATTCTCATCATTAAACATAATATTTTTCCAATCCAAACTCCAAAATTTGTATTTATGGCAAATTGCAATTATTATTATTAACAAGAAAAGAATGCTAAAGTCGAGCAAGCTCAACTCTTAAATACCCTGTACCTCCCACCAAAAAGAAAACAAGATAGAACGCTACAGTCGAACAAGCCCGACAGTAAAATAGCCTGTACTCTCCACAAAAAAGAAAAATTTTTAAAAAAATATTTTAAAAAATTAAATTGTTAAAAAAAAAAAAAAATTAATTAGGAAAATATATTTAATACATACATAGAAGACATGTTTATGTACAGTTTTACATTTACATCGTGTTTATGTGTATTTATATGCGTGTATGTATGCAGCACAAAGTTGAACCAAAGCACCAACAACAACAACAGATGCGGGCAGCGCTGAAAGCAAAGCATGAGCAGCGATTTTATTTATGGCTATAACTTTCTTCAGAATTGACCTATCATGATGAAATTCGGCATACGGACACATCCCCAGCTGGATGTAATTACCAAATTCGAAATTCCAAGAACTACGGGAGTTACGTAAATCACTAATAGCAGGGGAGTGGGGGGGGGGGGGGGGGGGGGGGGGGGTACATCGGAATAAAAAAACAAACTTGACCTGCCTAGGTCTTGGGGGAACCTGGATACCAAGTTTGGTAATTCTAGCTCTTGTACCTTCTGAGATCCTTGCGTTCATACAGACGGACATGGCTATATCGACTCGGCTTGTCACCCTGATCAAGAATATATATACTTTGTGGGGTCTGCCACGCCTCCTTCTGCCTGTTACATACATTCGCACAAAACTAGTATACCCTTTCACCCTTTGGGTACAGGGTATAAAAATAAGTATTTTGTCTAGGTTGTCAACCAATGGGGTACGCCCGGTTGGGGTTTTTCCATGAATTCCGGGGTCCTTCAAAAATTTGTCCACCTTATTCCTGCTATAATATAATTTCTATAATTATTTTTGTTCAAAGTCACTTACTTTTAATTATTTATTATAGTTTGTAAAGAATTCTATACAAAAAGATCTAATTTGACGTGAAAAACTATCCGCAAATGAAAGCAAACTAATCTGTCCTAGTTAATTATTTCGTTCACAAAAGTCAACGTTGTCCTCTACAAATAAACATAACAAGAAAACCTTGTAGTACTTTTGCAAAATTCTTTGCGTGGAGCTCAAGCATATTACAACCGAAATATTGGAGGAAGAGAGAAAACGAAGAATTGCATTTTGTGGACAATATAATGTGCCAAATCCTTGTCCTAGTAGTTAATTGTTTTGTGCACCTTATGTATATGATTTGTTCCAATTGATCTCAATAAATTATAAGATACTAGCAGGTATTGCCCGTCTTAACCCGGCTCAATATGTTTCCAATTGTATTTATTTTGTGTGTGCATAACCTACCCATATGTTTTCACCTTAAAGGTTACCAGTAGGAAGGCATTTAAGGTATTTAAATGAACATTTTCTGTTCTTGACAAAAAATTGTTCAGTATGAATGCAATAAGCAGAATTTTTAAATAACAAAATCTAATTATTTATTGACATCAATAAGAACAAATCATATACATACATACATCTGCCCG